ATATATGTTTAAGAGGAAAATTCAGGGATGATTCACGAGGTTCGAGAGGATGTCCGACTGTGTGGAGATCATCGGATAAAGAGGATTTTTTTCGTTTCCTTTTTGAGGGACACATGTGACATTGTATGTAGTTGCCACTTATTTGAGTTTCGGGGGATACTTTGTTGGCATGCAGTCACAATTTTGATCCGTAACGATATCACGTTACTGCATGATAAGTTTATATTGAGGCGATGGAGGCGGGATGTTAGTAGAGCACACATGAGGGTCACAATGAACTACGATGGGTTGGTTAGTACTCCTGCACAGTTGAGGTACAATGATATGTGTCGGGCATTTTCGGAGGTGGCTAACCTTGTTGCAGATGCTGAAGTGCGGGTCCGTTCGATAATGGAGTGGATCAATGTTCAACAGAAGGAGCTCACGCTGACAAAGTCGAGTTGTACTCATCCCAATCATGCCATCTCGCATGGGTCGAAATCTCGAATAGATTCTAACATTATCGTACTAGATCCAATATCGTCGAAGAGGAAGGGTCTGTCAAGAAAACTTCGACGACGAGGCCCGTTAGAGTTGTCTTCGAAGAGAACAAATGTATGTTTTATGTTAGCCTACTAATTGAAACGGAGTTTGATTCCATATTCCCATACAATTTTCGTTTTACATGCAGGCAAATTAGACTTCAAGAAAAGGCAAGAGATCGTAAGGTAAAAATAGTACTGTGGAAGGGGCTGTGATCGAGGTTGAGGCATCTCAACATTGTTCCTCGCTGACACCGATGTCCAGTTCTCAACTCTTTTTGGTATGACTTTTTTTTGCCTTGGTAGTTATATGTCCAATTACGTCATTCAATTTGATCTGACTTCTATGTGGGATGTTACGTAATGCAGGGTGAGAGTGGAAGCCAACAACAGTTGTAATGACAAGCTTGTTCACTTCGCCTTTGAGAAGCAAGAACGTTGTAGACATCAAATGTGCCACTTATTTGGAAAAGAACCATGTTTTTCTTATTTAATTGTAGATGGTTGCTTGTAACATGGTTTATTGGCACTTGTTTCTTCGTTTGTTTGGGATATAAAATAGCTCTATGTAATTATGTCAGGATGTTCATAATAATTTTTCTTGTTACTGGATTCTTGGCACTAGTTTCTTATTTATTCATAATCCATTCTTGGTAATTTAGTTGCTGGTGCAATGTATAGGTTGCTGGTGATTATGGAATAGTTGGCTGGTGATGATGGAGTAGAATTATACTCTAAAACTTAGCAGCAACTTATTCTTTTCCCACCTATCCTTGATTTATCGATTGCTGGTGTAATATTTGTACTGGTGCATCTTCTTTTTTAACTTGTGGTTTATTAGTTGCTGGTGCCTTGGTTGCTAGTGTCATATTTGTGCTGGTGCAACTTGTTTTTTGAGTGGTGGTTTAGTAGTTACTGGTGCCTTGGTTTATTAGATTTTGGTGCAATATTTGTGATGGTGCATCTTCATTTATACTCTAAAACTTAGCATCAACTTCATTAATGTCTAAACTTAGCAGCATCTTCACAGGTGACAATTGACAGCGACTTCATAAACAGGAAATTGCATCACAATAGATATCTTTATACAATTGGAAGAGAATTATATGATATGATAACCATTTTCCAATAGCATGTCCAAAACTAACACAATAAAAATAACTATTCAACAACTAACTACTAAACATGCCAGCCAACAACAATTTCCTCTTCCATACTACTCCGCATGTCCTTTTCCCTTGCGAAATGTCACGTTCACTGAAATCTCAACGTCTCGTTTGTCGGCTATTCGAGCAAGAGAGTCAAACACTCTGGGCAACTCTTCAGCTTCCTCATTGGCCACAACATTCGCTGCTTCATGAATGGTACTCGATTCACCAGTTGATTCTTCATTCTTTACCGAGTTAAAGTAGCCACAGTCGTCACTACAAGTTTTGAATAGTCGCTCATTGTTACCGATGTTCCTTTCAACCTGAAAACACATTTGAATTCCATGTGGACACCATGGGCGTCGAAGTTTTCTTGGGGCAATCCTTGAAATAATGTGTCGTGTTTCTACAACTGTGACAAACTTCAAAATTTGTCCCTTTCATCCTGAGATTGAGAACAAAATAATTACAGACAGATATGGCAATGAAGACAAACTAGTTCCACCATTACCCATCACACACCTATTAACTCCATTAATTATAGATAGATAGGGCAATAATGACAAATTGTGCAACAACCTCAGATTGAGAACAACATAATTCTAGACAGATATAGCAATGAAGACAAACTAGTTCCACCATTACACCATCATACACTAATTCACTCCACTAATTACGGAAAGATATGGCAATGAGGACAAACTGTGCAACAACTTGAAATTGAGAACAACAAAATTGCAGACAGATAATGGCAATGAGGACAATAATTCCAGCATTACTCTGTACCATTACACACCTACTACAACTAACTCCACCATTACACACCTACTAACTCCACAATTACAGACAGACATGGCAAGATTTCCACCATCGAACTTGTTACGGGCCTGAGTCAGACCCACCACCTCACCCTCCACGTGTTATCAGATGTGGCCCATACCACGCCATGTGTCAATCGAGGTGATTGCTCATTGGGATGAGTTGACTGCCTATGCCCAAGTGATCCCACAAGAACAAACTGAATAGGCGTCAACAAACGAACCGGACTCATCCGCAAATATACCGCGGATGCAAAGGCCCGCACTCCGCTTCTACAATGCTGCAACGCCTCACCTACCTCGCCTCGTCTCGCCTTATCAAAGATCTCTTATACAAAGACCTTTCCAAAGTCAAACCACTGACTGATGGGATGTGTGGAAGGACCCAAACGGTCAAATCAGCTGCTTTTGTCAGAAATATTCAATGCCAGCCAACCTACGGAAGGACGAATGGACACCTAGGATGGGACGAGCCTAAGGATCTGGCAACACTTTTCTCCTCATTCAATGGCTATCATCTTCCCATCTTTAGTATAAATATTCTCTCCTTGCGCCTGAAAAAGAATTGGAATCCAAAACCCCCAAATTACTACTACATTACGAAACTAAATATTCCCTTCCCTTAAATATTAGCACATTTCGATACACATTTTGTCAACCACTTCCAGCCGAGTGTTCCACTGCCGATAAACTCTTTTCCGGTTGAACAAATAGACTTGACCGTTGGAGTGCTTGCGACCACTCCCAACGCCTCCGGAAAAGGTCACGAGTAACTAACGACGTGCCACATATACATGAAAGAGCTGACTCGAAGACATTATCTATTGGCCATGTGTTAGAGCCATTTTTCGAGGTCAATAGAACTCAAACATGAACAACAAATGGTGGTTTATATTTGAAATCTCCAGTGAATCACTAGTAAAACCTTCCTCATTTGTATTTTTTCCTGTTTTAAATGCAGTTAACATTCTACTGATTGATGTATCCTAAATGGAGAAACTATATTAATATCTACAGAATGCAGGTACTGGATGAAATTCATCGACAACCAATGTTACTTACCTTGTCTATGATCTCATTTCCAGCTACAGAATCGACGGTTGACTCTTTTTTCTTAAAGACTCACAGAAAGCCAGAAAAATCAAAAAATGGAGATGATAATCAGCAGTATGTTTTCTCCTGCCTTTTTAATGGGTTGTGCTTGAAGTGGTTGGAAGATCCCAAAAATGGGAAAAAAAAGGGGGGTGGTGGTGGTGGAGCTAATAAATTGTTTTCCTCTGCTTCGGGGAAAGCTAATCTAAGCTGGGTGATGAAGCACCTATTGGCAAGAAATCTAAGCGGAGAAATAGTGTTCGAGGTGTTCGAAAATGGTCGCCGGACGTGAAGCTTTCACAGATTCAGAGATGGAAATGCAATTGCCGATTTCAACAGAATGATACGGCCGGAGATAGAAACTCAATCACCTTCGCCATCGCCGTCCCGTCACCGTCATCGATATTATCCAGTTCCCACAGCAAAGTTGAGGGGAGAACAAATACCGCTGATTTTGAAAAATTAGGTTTCCTTCCATAAATGGCCATTTCACGCGTTATGTTTCTTTTCATTTTCCTTTTATTTTTTATTCTTTTTCAACTGACACGTCATCGAATTTTGAAATCCTGTATCATGCCTGTGAAATGCCTCCTGTACGTGTAGCGGAACTGTTAAAATACTTAGTTCAAGTAATTTCCACTTTGAGGTAATTTATCTTAATTTTAACGTATCAATTCATCCCCTCTGTCTAATTAATGATCCAATACTTTGGCACCGTCGACATCCTAGTCAAGACGGATAACTATCCAATCTTCTTACAAGGCCAATTATAGAGTCTTTTCAACAGGGAAAAAAAAAGGAAGGAAGGAAGAAAAACTAGAAATATTTTGCATAAAATAAGAAAACTAGTACCAAAAGAGAGACAAAAATAACGGACTACCGTTGAGGCCTGTTAACGGTGTGTCCATTAATGTCTCAAAATCCAACCAAATGTCCTTACACCCAAACTCCAAATTTCTCTCTCTCCATTTAAATTATCCACCCCTTCCACCACCTTCACAATTACGCCCCGCCCCCTTACACCACCATCCCCTCCGTTAGGTAACAACATATCTTTCGCGTTCAATGTGTCATCGTCCATCATTCATCGATCATGCACACGCGCACACATGCACGTAAAAACTCATAATTCTTAGCATGATTGATCATAACGGGTAGAAAATGCTCATTTTTAGTAATGCATGTAACATTGTTGAAGACCGTATTAATGCTGCTATACATTTTATATACACGTGTGTAAAAATGATGAATAGATGTTTTTGATTATTAATGTTGTTTGTGAAAATTGGTTTCTCAGACATGGAGATGAATACATAGCAAGAATGAGAGGAGACAACACCGTCTTGGGATTGCATAAGTGATTAACAGAATCAGTGAGAGACTAATAAATTTATCGGGAAGAAAATTTTAATTTAGACAAAATGTCGTCGAATGTGGGGAATGAATCACTAGGGCATCAGTCGACGCTAACACGACGACCTTCGCGTAGTGCTGCCAACACTGTGTTCTCCATGGAGGTGTTCGATAACGAAGTTGTCCCATCGTCCCTCCAGTCAATTGCCCCTATCCTCCGCGTCGCCACTGAGATCGAGGCTGATCGCCCTCGTGTTGCATACCTGTGTATCTCCAAATACCTTTGCACCTTCAACACGCATAATGCATGGCACATTTGCACATATATTATTTACAAGCATATTATTTCTATTGTTCAGTTTAATATTATATACCAAACGTGAAGTTATTACATTATTAAAACATTTAAAATTATTATTTAAAATTCAAAGATTGACCAGTGATATCTAATTAAATTCCCCTAGCTTAATTCAACAAGAGCACTTCGAAATAAATAATTTTACCTTTACAACAAATGAAGATAATTTGTAAAAATTAAAACTTTTGAACTTAAAGCCCGCGTTGGATACTCATTTTTTTTAAAAATCATTTCGACCACATATTCTATCAATAAAATAATTTTATGTGTAAATTCAATTTTTTTCTACTTTTTAACCATACATTCTTAAAAAAATCGTTATTACAAAATACATTATCAATAAAAATAGGGCCCAAATATAATTTAAATAAGAATGTCCAATATTGTAAAAAGTACTTTCGAAAAAGCTAAATTTATCTGTAGAAAAAAGTAACTATTTTGACATAAGTAACTTTACAAGTTGGCTTATCGCATCAATATTGCTCAACGTACGTGCCTATTGCCAAATATCCATACCTTTTTAAATTGATTAGAAATCTTTCTTATATGACATTTGAGGTACGAAAGACCCCTTTTTCTTCTATTTTCTCGATAAATCATTGTGAAATGATGAATATAGTTGAAATTAGTTCTTCTATTTGTTTGTACTTTTTAAAAAAATTGGAACTATTAAATAAAATGGTACATTCAACATTTCACGAGGATTTGTTGAGAAAATAGAAGAAAATGGAGTCTTCTACACCCGAAGGTCATATAGGGCAGTTATCGGCCATTTTGAAAGAAGTAGTGGAGCATTTGGCAATAGGTCATAAATTGGGTTACTGTGCCAATAAGCAAGTTTTAGTTATTACCGTTGCTATTTTGTTTGAGTTACATGAGCCTCGTGCACATTGCTCTGCCACTCCACAATTACATAAACAGAGTTCTTTACGCGTTGAAGGTTGCAACTTGCTTCGGAAGAAAATTCATCTTAATTGATTCTTGCAAGTGAAAACATAAAATATTTCTGGGAAGTGTTAAACAAAAAAATTGGAATTCTTTTCCTGTAATTTTGATTGTTTTTTCACGAAAGGAATTTGTGATACAGGTCGATTCTATGCGCTGGAGAAGGCACACCGACTGGACCCAAGCTCCAGCGGCCGTGGTGTTCGACAGTTCAAGACTGGCCTCCTTCAGAGATTGGAGAGGGTATGTAGTTATGTTTATATAATCGGCTTGGCTTTTTGGGTGATTTCATAAAAACAAAATTCCAGTTGCCTCTTTATTCTTTGACTATTACATGTTTGTTTCTACTGAGTACTGGGTTCCATGAATCTGACTGTTGGTTTGAGTTTTAAGCTGATCAAATTTAAAACGTTTCATATTTTTGGGATGATACCATATTGAGTCTTGGGTTCATCGTTTCAAATTCTGTGCTCTTTGTGATAGTGCAGTGTTCCTTTGAGGCTTTATAGCTCATCCGTCTAAATCTTTGTGTATCATTAGTTGAATCACATTGCCATTTTTCCTTTATCAAAGAATCGCGAAAGCTTTTCATTTTTCACATTTTTTTGATAATTCTCATTGTTTATCTTGAAGTGTGTTTGTTTTGTACTAATAGAATTTGAGTTCCTTGGGTAGTTGGAATGTGAAGGTATTGGGGATTTAAACATGCTGAGCAGAGGTGGGAAAATCCTCTTTACTTTTAATTCTGGTCTTTTGGAAAATTTGGTTCCTTAGTTGTATATTTCTGTTTCTTTGTTTATTTTCAATATTGAGTCATTATATTTTGAAGAAAAATCTATTCATTTTTAAAACTGGTCTCGTTTGATGGCAGAACTCTTCATATGAAACCTTCCGTAATCAAACAAATATAATAACCAAATGATTGAAAGTCTGGCATGATTTGGGAAGTGGACAGTGATGACATTTTGACATTGTATTTCCCTGGAGTGTTTCAATTTATAGTTTGGATGAAATCCCAGTTATATTTTCGAGGACTAACTTGTTGGAAAACTCTTATGCAGGATAATAACTCTAGTCTTCCTGCTCGTGTCAAAAAGACCGATGCTCGGGAAATTGAGAGCTTCTACAAACAATACTACGAGAAATATGTTGTGGCACTTAGCAAGGGGGAACAAGCGGATAGGTACTGGAAACATATGGTTTTATAGAATCCATCTTGCTGCAAAATTTGGAATCAACATGTATGTTTTTACATTTTAGGCTCATTATTCTATTATCATTAACTTTCTTCTAACAGAGCTCAGCTTGGCAAAGCTTACCAGGCAGCCGGTGTGCTCTTTGAGGTGCTTTGTGCTGTTAACAAGACTGAAAAAGTCGAGGAAGTTGCTCCAGAGGTTTGCTTTGATAGTAATTAACTGAATTATACGTGATGTAGAAATTGATAGCAGAAAGCTCTAAATCATGTAAAATGTTGGTTGAACAGATTATGGCTGCAGCAAATGATGTCCAAACAAAGAAGGAAATCTATGCTCCATATAACATTCTTCCCCTAGATTCTGCTGGGGCATCGCAATCCATCATGCAGCTTGAAGAGGTGCCACACTTCCACTATTCGGCCACCAGCATGCATACATGACTATAAAGATAGAGTTCCTTAGAAAATACTAAGACATTGCACTCTTTATCACTGCCAGGTCAAAGCTTCTGTAGCTGCTTTGTGGAACACACGAGGCTTAAGCTGGCCAGCCTCATTTGAACAGCAGAGACAGAAAGCAGGGGAGTTGGACCTTCTTGATTGGCTGAGGGCCATGTTTGGGTTTCAGGCATGTGTTGCTGAATTCAATATTTTTATTGATTAGAATAAAAACTATTAGTCACTAAACTGTTTTGATTTTACAGAGGGACAATGTCAGGAACCAGAGGGAGCATTTGATTTTATTGCTCGCAAATATTCATACAAGGCTCATCCCCAAGCCCGAACCATTAAACAAAGTGTGTATTCCTCAATCTGATTATTCTCTAAATGCGTTGCAACATCAAATTTTCCTTCTAATGACATCTGTATCATCCGTGTAAGTTGCACAGACACCGACAAAGTAGTGTGTCGTCAATTAAATTCTTTCAAATTTAATTCATATATTATATCTTTATTTTCATAATTTTTAATATAGGACATGGCGCATGCCGCATGGCATCTGGCATCCAGACACTTATCCGAGGGGTGTTTCTAAAGCATCCCTTGAGTGTACGTACTATAAAAGATACATAAAAATGGCAAGGGCACATGTATTGTTGAATACATGTCCTTGAGTGTTGGACATGGATATGCCACCCTAGTAGAAGTGTCCGTGTATCATTCCGTCGTATGTAGAACCTAATATTTTTGTTCATTTTGGATTCATTTGTCTTTTTTAAACCAAACGCTTCCTATTACATGATGCTGGTGTATTTATTTCCTTGTTTCTGATAAATTACAAGGCTTCAGTTCTCCTTCTCGTGGTGATACTTGTTTGATATTCCATGTTTAAACTGATTTTCTGATGTGCTTTGAGCATCTTATTCTTAAGTTACTTGACCTCTATGTGGGTGTATGTGTATATATATCTAAACTTGGGTGGAAGAAACTTAATATTTATTGGATTTACTCAGCTTGATGATCGAGCTGTCGATGCACTTATGAACAAGCTTTTCAAGAACTACAAAACATGGTGTAAATACTTGGGAAGAAAACACAGCTTAAGGTAAGCTGAGAGAGATTCTTTTCCTTTATTTGGGTAGTTTACTTGTTTAAAATGCCTATACATTTATTGTTACCGTGGCAGGCCCCTAATGAAAAATATATGAAACGTATTGCTTGTAGGCTCCCTCAAGCCCAGCAGGACGTGCAACAGCGAAAGATACTTTACATGGGCCTTTATCTTCTTATCTGGGGTGAAGCAGCTAATGTACGCTTCATGCCAGAGTGCCTATGCTACATTTTCCATAATGTCAGTTGTTCTTTCATCTTTGTACATTTGTTACAATTAATTTGTTGATTTTGTGTACATGTTAATCTCAATAATTAAAAACTGTTTTAACCCATATTTCTTGCTCTATTGCATACCTGGTCAGATGGCATATGAACTTCATGGTCTCTTAGCTGGCAATGTCAGCATTGTTACTGGTGAAAATATCAAACCTTCTTATGGCGGAGATGACGAAGCTTTCTTGCGGAAAGTTATAACACCCATTTATCGAGTGATTGAAAGGGTAATTTATCTTGCAGATGAATCACACAGTTGTAGGAGTCCATCTCTCTCTGTTCCATAGGTAACAAAATTGTGCTTATCATGTTCCAGGAAACCCAGAAAAGCCAAAATGGGAAAGCCCCTCACTTAGCCTGGTGCAATTATGATGATCTGAACGAGTATTTCTGGTATGAGATTAAAAAAAAATATATATTTCAGTACAGAAATTGAAAAAAGGAGGATGGCTTGCTCACCTTCAGTTTCCTGAGAGTAAGGGGTGACCAATTGTTTGTAGGTCATTAGATTGCTTCTCTCTTGGTTGGCCAATGAGCGATGGGGGTGAATTTTTCAAGTCCACACAAGTTTCAGCAAAGGTAAGATCTGTACTCTGTGCAGAAGTTCTCTCATATGAATTAAAATTTTGCTATTTGGTTTAATATGATTGCTGTTCCAGGGGAAGAAAGCTCCTCAAAAAAAGCCAGGAACGATGGGGAAATCATTTTTTGTCGAAACCCGGAGCTTTTGGCATAACTTTCGAAGTTTTGATCGTCTCTGGACATTTTTTATACTTGCTCTTCAGGTATCTGATTCCAACAGATAAAAGACTATAGTCGAGATTTCCTCTGCTCCTTTCTCCAGGAGATTGTGCTAATGTTGGGGTTGTTCTATTGCAGGCCATGATTATCATCGCATGGAGTGATGTTTCTATATTAGATATTTTCCAGAAGAATGTCTTGTATGACTTGTCGAGCATTTTTATTACGGCGGCCTTTCTTCGCTTCCTTCAGAGTATGATATTCTTGTTTCTAAAGCTAAGACAAGGACGTCAAGGAAGAATTAATTATTAATTATTCTTATACCATCGGTTGTAGATTTAGCTGATGGGACAGTGAAAAATCTTCTAGTTCAACTCATATGGATTTAAGTTTTAGATCTTGAGTTTTGATTCATTATTTGATTGAGAAATAATTTCTCCCCAATCTCATTTAGGTATGTTGGACATCATTCTAAACTTCCCAGCGTATCTTAGATGGAAGTTCACTGATGTATTGAGGAACATTCTCAAGATAATTGTCAGCCTTGCTTGGTCCATCGCCCTTCCAATATGCTATGCGCACCAAAAGAATTCATTTTCATTTGGCAAGATCAAAGATATTCTCTCCTTCCTAGATAAGGTTAAGGGAGTGCCTCCTTTGTATCTCATGGCTGTAGCTGTATATTTTCTACCAAATCTACTGGCAGTGGTTTTGTTTCTTTTCCCAATGCTACGACGTTGGATTGAGAACTCGGATTGGCTTATTGTGAGGTTTTTCCTATGGTGGTCGCAGGTACATCTATAATTCTTGTCTTTTTCTATTCTTATGCAAGTACTCCATCTTTTATAAACAAGTACAACTAACCGTAAAAACACGTAAGGGTTTGTCAGAATACATCTGTTGTTTCAGTGGATATGGCTGATCAGATATATGATACTCAACTTCTAAATTTGATTCTTCGTTGATTGACAAAGTGCTCCGAGTGGAGTAATTTTCAATTTTAGTATGTGCTGAACTGAGAAGAATGCATCTTTCTTTTTCAATCTTGGTGATGCATGAATTTTCTCTTATAGTGAGAAGAAAATTCCATTTGTTATCTACACATGGAATAGATGTTAGAGTCGGTGAATATATACTTCTAGACCAGTAAGCCTCCTCTTCTGACAGTGGTAATCGTTTGGTTAAAATGATTTGCCTTCTCTTTAGTGTTTTCTCTCACGTTTTTCCGAGTTTAAAGTGCTTACATGATTAATCATAACATTAATTTTTTCCTTATCATTTTACTCAGCTGAAGTATTTCAGCTAGAAATAATTTGTTATTTTTTAGTTCCTCCGTCCAACAACATTGTCAGATGTCAATATTCCTTTTCAATCTAGTCACCAGCTTTGCATCATCAGTTATTTGGAATTTTTGACTTTATATCTTAAATTTATCGACTTATTTAGACAGTATTTTCAAAAATTGTTTTTCTTCATCCACTGAGACAAGATTTAGTTGATATCCACATGACCTCTCCTCTAAACAGTTTAAGTTTTTTGATCAAGTGGTTCAACATGGTTTTGATGTGAAAATTTGAACCCACCTACATGTGAGAGGGTATATTGAAACAAGATTTAAATGATATAGTCAAGCTTTCAAGTGAAGTATTTCAACATTATATTTAGGCATTGAACTGACAGTAGAAACAGCCGGAATTCAGGGAAATCAGATTGATTAGGCATGTCTTTATAATTCCCGTTTCAGCCCTATTTTTTAAAAAACTCATTTTCAAACACAAATTCTCTCAAAAAGATAATATTACACGTAAACCCCAAAAAATTTTCTTACTTTTTAATACCACATTCTCCAAAAAATCACTATTACAAAATTTATTCTCCCAGAAAAATGGGGCTCAAACATACCCAATAGTTCGTATACAAAAAATAGAAGTTCAACTTAACTTTGAACTTTTAATTTAAGTTCCTTAATTGATTTTGGAAAATTGCTAAGTTTGCAGTTGTTCTTGTCATGCATTTCTACAAACAAGAAATTAATAGAAGTTCTCAGTTTCTTCTTTATTGTTACTATTTAAAAATTGAAATGTCTCTCTCCCTTTCTTGCTTTCATACCTTCCCCTTTTATCATTGTTGCCTTTTTATTTTCTTTACATTGATAATGTGATTAATCTGAAATGACTTTGTTTGACCTTTTGCAGCCTAGGATCTATGTGGGAAGGGGAATGCATGAAAGTCAGTTTGCACTAATCAAGTATGTAGTCCTTATATTGCATACTCTTCGACTCTGCTTCTTTGTACATCTACATTGACTGTTTTTATCATCTTATTAACTGATATCAGGTACACTATCTTTTGGGTACTACTTTTATGTTCAAAATTTGCATTTAGCTATTTTGTCCAGGTAGATTTCATACCTTCAAGACATAAATTTTTCATAAAATGTATGATATTGGGGTCAACTTCCCAATTTAATGTCTTGTTTGATCCAGATAAAACCTCTGGTGAAGCCCACTAAAGATATAATGAGAATCCGCCATGTCACATTTGCTTGGCATGAGTTATTCCCAGATGGTATGCATCTAGTTGTACTGTTTTTATTCATACACATTTTATCGACTTGCAGCGTGTTAACAACAGTTGTATATGTGTAGCTAAGCACAACTACAGTGCTGTTCTTTCACTTTGGGCGCCAGTTATCTTGGTTCGTCTTTCTTATCATTAACTTGTTTTCTCATATACTATATTCATATAGTATTAATAACATGTTCACCCTCGTGGTTGTGTATTAGAAAACCAAAAAACTCTATTCATTTAGAGTATTAGAGTCATTTTCTTTCCTTCTTTGTTCATTCTAGTTGTTTGTTGTCCATGAAAAAGTATCTCAGAGATGTTATGACTTTTGCAGGTTTATTTTATGGATCCTCAGATCTGGTATGCCATATACTCCACCATATATGGAGGTTTTATTGGCGCCTTTGATCGTCTCGGCGAGGTACGAGCCTCCATTAAGCTCATTAAGTTTTTGCTTTTTCTGGTCTTCTTGTATGTCTTCTGTCTCGTTGTATTTATTCAAATTTAAGATCCCGTTGTTTCCACCTGCAATTCATTTGGGCTGAGGAATAAAACATGAGGCTTCTGAAATGTAAACACAGTTGCTTCCTGCATTAAAGCTGCTTTGTCAAATTGGATTAGTTCCTGCTGAAAGAACTAGTTACTTTTTATATCTAGCAATAGTAGTTCTTGATTTCAGTGACATTGATATACACCTGCCTTTCCTTAGATACGAACTCTGAGCATGCTAAGGTCACGGTTCCAGTCTTTACCTGGTGCATTCAACACTTTTCTAGTACCTTCTGACAAAAAGAGGAAGAGAGGGTTTTTTCTCTCAAAGAACTTTAATGAGGTTTCTCTTCATCCTTCCATACACGATTGATTTATCACGCCTAAATAATGGGTGATATCTCCCCTTCTGAAAATATATATCATTTTCAATATGTACAGGGTTCAACAAGCAAGAGAAGTGAAGCTGCTAAATTTGCTCAGTTATGGAATGAAATAATAAGTAGCTTCCGTGAAGAAGATCTCATAAGCGACAGGAAATGATCCTCAACTGTCTTCATTCTTTTTTTCTCTTATCGTATTTGTCCTTTGATTTATATTTGAAGATTCTGTCATACAATAGGAATTGAATTTGATCTTCTGAAATTTCAGGGAGATGGATCTTCTTTTGGTTCCTTATTCTTTAGATTCCAGCCTGAAACTAATCCAGTGGCCGCCATTTTTGCTTGCTAGCAAGGTAACTGCAGTTTCATTGAATCTTTTGCGTCTTCTTTCTGTATTCATTCTCCAACAAGCTTGCATTGTAGATCCCAATCGCATTGGATATGGCAGTTCAATTTCGATCAAAGGATGCTGACCTTTGGAAGCGTATATGTGCTGATGAGTATATGAAATGTGCTGTTATTGAATGCTATGAGTCATTCAAACATGTTCTGAATGCTTTGGTCATTGGAGAGACTGAGAAAAGGTTGTTCATTATACTTATCATGGAGCCAATTGACAAGTTAATGCAATATATATTTAGCCTGTGAAAATGTGCATGTAATTTTGAATATGCTGGTCTACTTCCATAAATGTGTCTACATGTACATTCATATAGTCTCTTCTTTTCAGTGTAATCAATTTTGCTGAATTATCTCCAACTTCGTGATTTCCTAATCCATGTCTTGCTAAGATTAGTATCCACCATTTTAGGCAATGTTGAATTTTCCACTGCATATGTGGCCCATGGTCTGAGTACCATCTCTGTCTGACTCCTGACTTTGAGATTTTCTTGCTATTTTAGTATTTATAAATGCTTTCTCTAATTCAAAAAGCACAAGAAAAATGAAAACTCAAATTTGATTTGTGAGTATAAATCATTAAGAATCTTTTTCTTTGTACTTTTCCCAACATTAATATGAAGCATTTTGTAAAAGTTGAAAGAGACTAACCAATATCTTTGCCTGCATGACAGTTCTAATGCCATTTTCTATATAACAGGATAATAGGAATCATCATTAAAGATGTTGAAAGTAACATATCAAAGAACACATTCCTTGCAAATTATAGAATGGGTCCCTTACCCGATCTTTGTAAGAAATTCGTGGAGCTTGTAGAGATGTTGGTAAGTTGTTTCCATTAATATATCATAATAAATGCAAGTTTTAAACTTAATTTTTCATTTCCCTGAAATTTAAACCTTTTTCTGCATAGCAGAAAGATGGTGATCCGTCCAAGAAAGATAGAGTTGTTTTGTTGCTACAAGATATGTTAGAAGTAGTTACTCGTGATATGATGGTGAATGAGATCCGGTTGGTTAATTATTTAGTATTCAGAAGTACTTGTCTTTTATTCTTCAATGATTTTGGTCTGTATTTGTATTATTTCTGATTGACTCTTGTAAAATTTCTTTTTGTTCATTGAATACAGTGAGCTTGCCGAACTTGGTCATAGTAATAAGGATTCTGGAAGACAACTTTTTGTCAATATTGTGTTCCCTCCGCCAAATACAGCACAATGGGAAGAGCAGGTATCTAAGTACGCAAAACTATGTATATGTATAGAAACACACACGACCACAAAATGTGAGACATCTATTTTTGTGAATAACTGAAGAGTAATTACGAGTGTGCTTTTCACAGATACGACGTCTTTATATGCTCCTAACTGTAAAAGAATCTGCCATTGATGTGCCAACAAACCTTGAAGCACGTCGGAGGATTGCGTTTTTCACTAATTCACTATTTATGAATATGCCACGCGCTCCTCGAGTTCGCAAAATGCTTTCATTCAGGTGCAGCTCATAGTCCTTTAAGTGCAAGCAATGTTCATGTTTTGAACTTGTTGAAAAAATATAAAAGTAACCATATCAATTGGAATGGCAGTGTTATGACTCCCTACTACAGTGAGGAGACTGTTTATTCAAAGAGTGACCTTGAAATGGAAAATGAAGATGGCATATCAATTATTTATTACCTTCAAAAAATTTATCCAGGTCCGAGTAATAATTCCATTTTTGCCCTCTTTTGACGAGGCTATTTCTTTATCTCGTGTTATTCTAATGTGATTTGCTTATTCTGTTTGCTAAGCATAATAATAATAATAATAACAATTCATTCAGATGAATGGAATAACTTCATGGAGCGTCTAAACTGCAATGAACAAGAGGTCTGGGAAAATGAAGAGACCATTTTGCAAATACGTCACTGGGCCTCCTTGAGAGGACAGACTCTTAGCAGAACAGGTTATTTGGGTCTCCGTCTCTCCCCATTCTCTTTTCCCTAAAATTGTTAGGTTGACTGTATTTATTTATTTTTCAGTCAGAGGGATGATGTATTATAGAAGGGCTTTGAAGCTTCAGGCTTTTCTTGACATGGCCAGAGAAACTGGTAAGTTGTTAACTTCTATATTAGATTTACAAAGGGATTGCATTCTCACGTCTCTAGTTTTTTTGAGCATGCTTGAAATTGACAAAAAAATATGGTTATCATATGATTTTTAGCGATGTTCAAACAAGCATATCACATGAATAGCATCATAATTTTATTTCTATAGTGTCCTTGGAAACTGTCCTAAAATATCGCTGGCACTCTCTAGATTTTAACTATTTCTGCCTAACCTGAACAGAGATACTTGAAGGCTACAAAACTGTTTCAGTACCATCAGAGGAAGATAAGAAGAGTCAGAGATCCTTGTATGCTCAATTAGAAGCAGTAGCTGACATGAAATTCACATATGTAGCCACTTGCCAGAACTACGGGAACCAGAAGCGGAGTGGAGATCGTCGTGCAACTGACATTTTAAATTTGATGGTGAAGTAAGTTCCTCATTTTCTTGATAGAGTACAAAGATTCTCTAGTTTGGATTTCTCTTTACTTTATGTCTTAATGAGCTCATCCGATTTTCAATCTTGTTCCACGTTCCCTTCATGCAGCAATCCATCTCTTCGTGTAGCTTATATAGATGAAGTTGAAGAAAGGGAAGGTGGAAAAAATAAAAAAGTTTACTATTCCGTATTGGTAAAAGCTGTTGATAATCTTGATCAGGTAATTACCTTTCTTATATCTAGTCAAAACACGAAGTTGATTTGGTTGTATCTCAAGAACGGACTGTTTTTGTTCTTCTGTGAAGGAAATCTACCGCATAAAGTTGCCAGGCTCAGCAAAGATAGGAGAAGGGAAACCTGAAAACCAGAACCATGCTATTATTTTTAGTCGCGGGGAAGCTCTTCAGACCATAGATATGAACCAGGTAACATGTGGAAATTTTGATGTCATTACACTGCATGGGATTTATTTAACCAAAATAACACAGTTTTCTGTTTCATTTTGTAGGACAACTATCTGGAAGAAGCTCTTAAGATGCGAAACCTACTTGAGGAATTTAATGAGGATCATGGGGTGCGGCCTCCTACTATTCTCGGTGTTCGTGAACATGTCTTTACTGGAAGGTTGGATGCTATTTTTGAGCTGTTGGTCAATTGACACATTCAGTTTTTGCTACATCTGATGTGATATCACAACTTAACTACAGTGTATCATCATTGGCTTGGTTTATGTCAAATCAAGAAACAAGCTTTGTCACCCTTGGTCAAAGAGTTCTAGCAAGACCTCTGAAGTACGTTCTTACTTTCTCTCATTTTTTATGAATTGATATACTTTTTGAATAAAACAGCGTTGTTCTTTAGTTTATGTTCTTCAATGGAAGTTCTCAAGATCAGATAGTAGTCATTCAGAGATGTCAACATTGTCTATCCGTTTGCAAAACCATGATGTTATGTTTAGATAATTAAGCGAAGCAATGGAAAGTTTCTACTTTCCTCAAAAGTAAAAAAAAAAAAGGACAGTGATGGGAGCTCAAAGTGCCGGAAACCTCATCTCTTTCTTTTAGACCATGCTTCAGCTAACTTCCGAGACACTACATTTTTCACATCAGCTACCCTTTGCTAGGCTTAATATCAGTTCCAGCGGACTTGTGAATCACTGACACGCCAGCACGTTCGTATACAGAAGTAGGATGAACACATCAACTAAAATACTAAGCAATTATGTATCATATCTCTATCTTCATACTTTTGGGATCTGAAAATAAAATTACTCTGTTCAGACCCATCTAAAATTGGTCCGCTAACAGCCTATTCATGATTCTGTCTTTCTCTAATTGGTTTTATTTAGGGTACGGTTCCACTATGGACATCCAGATGTTTTTGATAGAATTTTTCACATTACCCGTGGTGGCATAAGCAAAGCTTCTAAGGGCATTAATCTTAGTGAGGATATATTTGCTGGTGAGATATTAAATCACACGTTCTCCTACCTTTCTTACATTTCTACGAGATTTCTGAAATGTACTTCACTTTTTTGAAGGTTTCAATTCAACCCTGAGACGTGGAAATATTACTCACCATGAATATATCCAAGTTGGAAAAGGACGAGATGTTGGCCTCAACCAGATATCACTGTTTGAAGCTAAAGTTGCATGTGGTAATGGGGAGCAAACACTCAGCCGTGACATCTATAGACTGGGCCATCGTTTTGACTTCTTCCGCATGCTGTCATGTTACTATACAACAACTGGTTTTTATGTCAGCTCAATGGTAATTTTTCTAATCTGCGAATCAGTATCAATAGAACTGGAAATCAAGGTTCCTTAAATCTGAAAAAATAAAACAATTAGGAAATTAAAACACCACTTAATGCAACATTAAACAATGCAATGATACTTGTTTACAACATATTAATATCCACTTGGACGTACATCTATCATTCATTTTGTTTGAGAAGGGCTAGAAAATAAAGTCTTCAATGAAACTATTCTCTGCCAGAAATTTAAAAACAGCAAATATATAGTATTTTCTTCTTTAATGAGAGATGGCTGAATTTATAGTAAGCAAATCTAAAACTAAGCATTGAAAGACTTGTTCCTAATAACTATTTTTTACTGCCTTTTTATTTTTTAAAGAAAAAGATGATGTTGTGTAAATTCAATAGGTTTAAAGAGCTTTTGAATTAGGCTTTCTCCCTCTATTTGTTAAATACTCTTTTCTTCTATAACACTGGGTC